TAAAACTACGTTTTAAATTGTTTTAATATGAAAAGATCATTCTATCGTTTGATTAAATTAAAAAAATAAAAAACTAATTAACTAATTGAAAAATTATTCTTTATATTATATATTACTAACTTTGTAAGTAGTCTATTACATAATGAAATTGTATTTTATACAAACATACCCTTTGTCACAAACAAATGATGATTCAAGAGAGAATAAACAATAAACGATAAACAACACTGTTGAAGATAGTGTTAAACCAGAGAAAAAAAACAGACAAAATACACATTAGATTGAATTGAGAAGTGAATAATAAACAGACATGTAAGGACCACAAATCTCTGAAGTAGAAGAAGAAGAAGAATCAAATGAGCAGAAAGAACCAACAGTGGGGAAAAAATTTGCAAGAACAAGAGTAACAGAGAAAAAAATAGAAAAATTCTAGATAATTTAAACAAAAATGATTAATTAATTAATTTAATTAAATTAAATTAAAACAGTTTCTATTAATAATTCAATTTAATTAGATAATAATTGAAAAACAAATTAGGAGAAGAGAATAAATTTCTGAACAATGTACTTTTTCCTTGAACATCAATGGAAATAAAGAAGCAGTAAAAAGAGATCAGTCAGCTGCAACATAGGACCAGGAACATATATACATCGGTTCAAGTTGCCATACCTGTATTAGCACAGCGAGATGAATACCGGTTAGGTCCCACTTTCAAACCCCTAGAATCTCGTACTATTGATGTATGCTGTGTCTCCGAAACACGAATACAAGATCCTAAAGTGGTCATCATTCACTTGACCTCACCTCGGAAAAACCTTAAAATTTATTAAAAATATTTCAGCCTAAAGCTTTTGGTGATCAGCAGTAGAATCCAGGACGCGTGCTTCATTCTATTTGAGACTTTTTAGTTGGATGTACTTGTATTTCGGATTTGATGTTCACTTCGGAACTCGAACCCAGTACTGTTCGTTTCAAACGCTCAAAACATTTACTGATATCTAACTAGTTGTAAACTATGTAATTTTCAAATATTATTAATTGAATTCATTCTTATGTAAAACTACTTTACCTTAACACAATTGGTTTGTTATGAATAGTTTAATCAAGGTTTCAGAGTATTAATTCTTTTATTAAGATATTTATTTATCATTTTTCATTAAATAACTTTCAACATTCTTTAGATTTTTGCTACATCATACTGATACAGATATCCATATTACTATTTAATTAAGTGCAAAACAACTGATGAGTATTGAATGAAATGAATTCCCCTTATTATTCATAACAATAAACGTTGGTTTAAAAAAAAGGCACGAAATATACGTTTCGTGGATCATCTGTCTAGGGATCCTTAATTTTCAAATTTTTACCAGCTAGTGTTAGTTAATGATAGAGTTATACTTTTTTTAAGACGAAGTAAATTTTTACGTGGAGTTTGTTTTCCCCTTTGATCTGAATGATTTGATCATGAAGAATAACAATGAAAGCTTCACGATCAAATCATCTAGTTCAAAGAACAAACCTCCAATTACATAATTCTCCTGAACGATAAATATTCACCACCACCTAACTCAGAAACGAATTCATACTAATCACTTTACAATTTACTAATAAATTACAATAACTGTACTTCAAATCTATTAAAAAAAAATTGAATTGACAGAAAGAAAGAAAAGAGAAAAAACTGGAGAGAAATCTAGAGATGATCAAAAGTAGGTGGGGGAAAAAGTGTATTTATGTTAAAGTAACAATAAAGATTTTCAACTGGACACTTATGATAACTATCATTGTACGATTATGTAACACCAGGAAAAAGAGTCATAAAATATTTCAGACAAGTGTTATTAAAATTAGAACATAAAAGAAACATCAATGACAATAAAAATAATAATAATAATAGTGGTAGTAGTAGTAGTAGTGTGGTGTGTGCTACTTATGTAGACATAAGTAGTATATGACGCGAGTTAGGAACGTAATGCTTGGCAGCAGAAGATGGGGGACAATCAAGAAAGGAAGAGCGGGAACACAATGGAATTTGTATAAAAACGCATGAACAATGAAATCTGAGACAATGGATTGATGTTTGCAACAGGGACAGTCAAGTTTCATATGATCAATTGATATTTTGCAAATTAACAATTTAATATACGGTTCTCAGATTTTATTGAAATGCTCTGTAATTTTGTGCCTAAATACATTCGATTGTCCCCACTGGTGCGTTTTTACTACATTAGTAGTAACAAACACTAATTTTTATGTGTCTCCTAATCGATTACGGAAATAATAAATAAAGACTATTGTTTACATGGTTATAAAAAATTGTTATCAAAAACATTATATACTCATCTTCATATTATATATTTTCACGTTATCGTATACTTCCTGAATATGAAGTATCATATATACCGGGAATGTCCGGCGCTTTAACCGGACCCCAAACCAACGGTGCACATGGGCTCCAGTATCCTGCGGGAACAAATGGCGTATGAACCAATCGTTGGTCACCGGCTACCATGGGACTGCATCTCCTCACGATGCTCCACTGCCTTGTGGGTCAGACGTTCAGGTCGAAGGCTCGGGGTGTGGCCCCCTAAGAAAACCACCTGTTTCGGTTTGGGCACCCGAACAGTATCACAGCCCTCACACAAATCAATTGAGATTCGTGTGGCGCGTATGTACTTGGTGCTTCCCTGTACCTATACTTATGTGTTAAAATAAAATAAATAAAATAATAATCATATATACCATTTCACTAAAAAAAGTGTGTTCTCTTATGACAATACCTATATACCGACTAAATACGGAGGTTTATATTATTTTCAACGAAACGAATGACGGATTCAGTTCAAAAGAAATCAAGTAAATCAAGCATTTTTCAATGGATTTGTTTTCAAACTATAGATTAATTAGTGAATTAGTTCTATGACGTTATCATGATTATATATATATATATATATATATATATATATATATATATATATATATATATATATATATATACGTACGTATTACCATTTTCTGGGTTTCGTTTTATTCGAATACATCATATCGTAGTCTTAACGTGGAGGCCACTCCTCAAAGTCCTATGTTTGAGTCTCCGGGTTCTCAGGGTTGAAACGTTTAATACAAGGTTTACAGACATTCATTTTTCAACAAAGAGAGAGTGTATTCCATTTAGAAACAATAAAAAGTCTTATAACTCCAGATGGTTTGAAGGCTTAAACAAATGTTTCAATTAATTTTAAAGAAATGACCAAGCCAAGAAAAAAAACTATTACTTTAATTAGAAATGGACGGAAAACTGTTCACTGACCGGTGCGAATTTAACAAATGAGAATAAATTCGATAAATGAATAAAAAAATATGGAATATTTGTGGAGAAATAATAGATTACATTACGGACAAACTTTGAGGAGAAAAATAAAGTGTGTACCTAAACACAAAGTGAACATCCGTATTCCATTCAGAGTTTGAAGAAAAGAATTCCGTACCTCACGACTGGGCATGTTACTATCAAACCATTAAGGTCAGTGTTCGGAAGTCGGATTTCTAAAATCAAAGTGACCTCCAAGATTTTAATAACTGTCTAACAACCAAATTCAGTATACGATGCGAAGCAAACTCGATATTCAACAACCTCTGAAACATTTCTATCGTACCAAAGTATAAGTTAACGCTCTTGTTGACCAAGTTGAAGAACAAAGAAAAGTAAAAATACTTAGTTGATTACCAATAACTAAACATATATACTCGTGAATTGTAAATGAAAAAGCTATGATACAATGAAACCACTTATTTTAACCTATATGAAATCTAAAAGGGAGTCAAGTAGTTAAACTAGAAATGAGAGTAATAATCTAAAAATTGTAAGATTAATCTAATTTTTTAAAAGATGGAACATATCAACTTTGTGAAGACCATTGGTGGTAAGTGATTCAAAAAACCTTGTAAAATCTAATCATTAAAAAGGTGTTGAAACAGACAACTGGAACTGGAAATAGTAGAATGAGATGAATTCTAACTGAAATCTAGTTGAAATTCTGATTACACTTTATTGAAACACAACATTTTCATATTCAATAAAGTACAGTTTACGTTAAACCTGAATGATGTTTGAATCCATTTGTATCTAAGCCTACATACACTCACATCAAAAAAATATAAGGGATAACTTTCGAATCGAATAACATTGATTTTATTTTCAACCATATTATAAAAAAAGAAATTTTCTCAATATGAACTGTTCCATTTTACTAATTATTAATGATGCGTACACACACAATCTCATGCTGGATTTAATCGAGATCAAAATCAATCAATTTTGAAGCAATCTATAAACGACGTACTAACTAAACTTAACATTATCTGTTATCAGATTTAAAGTAAATTCATTGAATACAAATGAAAACTATGAAAAGTAGAAATATTAGCATTATGCCAATCTATACTGGATGTATATACATATATATAGACGATGTATGTCAACGAAATAAATGTCCAACACTCTTATATCATGTTTTTGATTGAGATCATGAACCGATTGATGTTAGACCACCATTCAAAACCTGGAAGCACTGGACGGCTGTTTCGTCCTAATGTGGGACTCCTCAGCAGTGCACATCCACGATCCTGCGAGTGGGATTCGAACCCAGAGCGTCTAGTCTAGCATGCGAACGGTTAACCTACTCGACCACTGAGCTGGCCGGTATCCAAAGGTGTTAATGTCTAACTTCAACCAATCCACTCTTATATCAATATTATCAATAAACAATAAAGACAACGTTAATTATAATAAAAAAAGAAGAAAATTATCAAAACAATCGAAAAGAAAAAAATAAAGGTTAGACAAAGGACACAATTAGTAGACAAATCAATTCGTACAGAGATATTATAGTAATATATTCATATAGATATACAACAATTTTCAATCAAGTAAAATAATGAAAACAAAACAAAAAAAGCCATAAAATGTATTTTGATAAATTAAAATCGAACTTACCTAACTGAGTCATTCCTATGTCCATTGAAGATATTCAATATAACCATGGTGATATGAAAATTAAAAAAAAAAAGTATAAGATGAAAACTAAACTAAACTAAACTAAACAAAAAAACAATGAATAATCAAATTATAGAAAATAATACAAATTTAACTGTTTACAAATAATACTACTATACATGCCAATTTATAAACAAAATTATTCATGTCACTTGTAAATAAATAAAATTTGTAGATGTGTTGGATACCTACTAAGAAGTTCAGTTGTTGTTAACCAAAAAAAAACAAAAAACAAAAAAAAAAAACAAACAAATAAATTCTCCACATTGAAATAAACATTAATATTTTTCGGTTTGTTAACTGACAAGAGAATTTCAGTGAACAAATGAAATGCTTACTTAATTGAACTTTCTTAGAAACAACATATTAGGTGCTGTATAACTTTATTCCTATGATGTATGTGAGCGTGTATTATAGAAAAAGCTGTTGCTATAGGAACAAACTACAACGAAACCTCATATATACTACTGGTATGATTGTGTTAGAAGTTCAAGTATATAGGAAGAATTGAGAGGAAATCTTATTTGTCCAGCTTTGTTTTCTTGAATTTAAAAAAAAATTTTGACATAAGAATAGTTGCAACGAATCATATTATTAGCGTCAACTTGTGAAGACTGTGTAGTTTATAGTTTTAAATTGCGTTGTTGATTTATCTGAACAACCCACTGAACATCAGTAAACACTACATTGTGAAAATGTAAATTGTTCAATGTCAGATTAGTGGTCTTAAAGTGTTGTTTTCATTGCGATGTTTAGAAGTCAAGGATTTGATCTTGAACGACGTCATTAGAACATATTTCTTTAGTCTCATATTAAGGCAAAACTGTTGTTATTTTCACTAAAATCATGGACCGATCAATTTTAAACCACCATTGAAAACCTGGAAGCATTTTACAGCACACAGGAATCACTTTCTCATTAGTAACTTGATGCAAAAGGGGATTTTCGGGGTTCCAGTGAAAAGTGACGGATCATATCTTAAGAAAATCGATAATTCAACAAACTTTAAAATGGGTAACCGTCAGAAACTATCAACAGAGTAAAATAGACCAAATCCCATAATGAGGTATTAAAAAAAACGCTTTTAAGTGATGAAAAGAAAACCTGATCGACTATTTAATATGAAAACAAACTCAAATGGAAATAATAACAATCTAATCTATATCATATTTATGCTCTTCATTGGGTTTATTAATTTCGATGAGATTGAATGAACGGTCATTGATAGACAAGGTGTAATTGACAATTGAGATTCTGCACAGTACCATGTTCTCAATCACACAAGAACTACATACAGTGCCTGAAAGTCTTTTAGTAAGCATACTACTAATCACTTACTGAATTGTAATCGGATGACTTCGATTTATGAACATTTTTAAACTCATGATATAGTGTAAACATTATGTAATGTCACCTATTGGTTTGCAAGTATTTCATCTTCCAGTAAGTCAACTCCATATGTTACGAATTGTAATGAGAGTTCCAGATTTTAATCTTGAATGGAATCGTGTATTTACAAGCTGAGACACACCAAATATGATAATAAGGCTGTTTTAGTAGTTTCTAGATCTTAATGATTGGCCTATTGGACTCTAAGCATTAAGCGAAAACTACCTTTAGATCATTCAGATTTTGAAGTGGTACTAAAGATCATGATACTTCACAAATTTGGATTTTTATTGGTGCTATTAAATTTATTTATGTCGTTTAGTTTTTTGCTTTTGATTTAGATATCTCTACCAAAAATAAACAACACAAACATCTATCCATTTAATCATTCGATCACATTTTCACCTTTGCTATCGAAGTATATTTAATGTTCTTAGACAAATTCTCCCGATATTATTGTCATTTATATTGTCCAATATTCAGTAATTATTTCACTTCATCGATGTGTTAATATCACACAATAATCTTTTGAAAATTTATTTAATCAAGTTCAAATTCTCATTGACCACTTATGAAGTACTCCAATGCACATGATTAATTACTAGGGTACTTAAATCCCGAAAAAAAAAGGAAATCAATGTAACCATAGTTAAATATTTAGTTTTTCATGGTGGTGTCTAACTTCAATTGACTCATAATTTCAACCAGTGAAATTTCTAAAAATCTCCCCACAACCCCTTCTGATAATCATTATATAATTGATTTTATTTTATATAATGTTACTAGTAATAATAATAATGTCTTAAATGGATTTAGCAAAATAAGTAAATATCTCTCTAATACCAATACAAAGAAACGTGAACTCCCGTTTAGTCATGCATACAAGATGAAAGTGAAAAGTGTAGACAACGAAGAAATACCGTAAAATGAAATGAAGTAAAGAGAGAAGGAAAAGTATAGCCTGTCGGCAAGACTACAGCAGAATACAAATATGCATATATACAAACATATATATATATATATATATATATATATATATATATATATATATATATATATATATATATATATATATATATACATGGAATATCAAATACACAGTAAATAAATAAATAAATAAATAAATCTAACCAACATCGTTCATACATAAACTGAAATTAGTAATTATGTATACACACACTGTTCTATAGATAATCGGATAAGAAGTGGAAGGGAAAAAGCAATGAACTATATTTCGATACATATATATTGAGAAAGAAGATCGAAAAGAGATGGTAGAGTGGGATGAGGAGGATAGACAGTGAATGAGAGATGATAGTAACAAATAGAATAGGACATTAAGATTCATTAAAAAGGTAATTTATGAGTTCATAATGATAATAGTAAATATTTCATTACTTTGTATAATAGAATCTGACCATAAAACACTCAAATTATATAAGATTTATATATTTGTACTATTTGAAAGTCATTGGTAAAATGAGTAAATTTATCTCATAAACCTAGTCATATATATCCGTGTGTGTGTGTGTGTGTGTTCAAGATATATAATTCTCATTGTTTATTAGAAGTGTACATGTTCGTAACTTCAGCAGTACCCAAAGAGGAATATGTATGTACACACAGTTTATGTACTTGTGATAATTTATATAAATGCATATCAACCTATACTTACATTAATAAATCAAATAAACAAATATTTTCTAATTTCATTGTATAGTAAAAATAATTCATTGAAATAAAAATGTTATTCCCATCATATAGATAGGGGTGGATTTTTTTTTTTTCTCGTGCATTTGTTAGATTTATTATGTTTCTATATCAAGTAAAGAGATCCAATACATTGAAGAAAAAAAAAGATCAATTTTAACATCAGTTTACATCGTTATTAGTTGAGTTATCCTGTTGTGGATATTCAGAACTGAATTTCGACTATTCTTTATTGCTTAATGGGTCGAAGTTATATAACCAACTGAACAGTATTAAATTGTATAAAACATGTATCCTAAATTCTGCTGCTAGTCATAATCCATCTATTCTATATTATCTTATATTTCCTTTCTTAATACATAATAATATTCTAAAAACAAAATATAGTAGTACTGTCCAGACTTTCATGAAGAAAACAAAGTTTTCAACATGTTGAAAGGATGTTTACATCATAAGAAACATGTTTCATTCAGCTTCAGATTCCAACATAAAAGTGAATGAATTTAAATTATAATGATTTAATAAGTAAAACTATGATGAAGAGAAGAATGGAGAAGAATGATAAACGTTCGAAGATATTTTTTTTAGAAGATTAGTGTTTATATTTTTAATGTGTATCTATTAAACAATCATCAAACAGGTTTGTAATATTCTCTTCATTGTAAGGTATTAGTTGACCTACTAACTAATGTTACACCCTACCATGTTCCCAAACTATTGTAAATTAATTATAAACTTGTTATTCCAGTTAGCACTGTAAATGACCTGATTAAGTATACGGTGAGATATATATAAAGGCATATAAAGATTTAACTCTTTGAGTCAAAATAATGAAAGGTAGATTGAGTTTCTTTTCTTTTGTTGTGTGATTGAAACGTAAGGCAGAGAGGAATTTTGGGTGAACCGATAAGCGTTAGTATATCAAGTCACCGAGTCAGGATATTGAGTATTTTCGGTTCAAGGATCACAGAGAAGGCAACGCTAAAAAACATTAAATGAAGCTAGTATAAAAATTTAAGATGCACATTTACACTAATATTTGAAAAGATGAAATAATAATAATAATAATAATAATAATACGTACCACGTTTCCCAGTTACATTCGGAGTAGATCGGCAAGAATAACGACCTAAAAGAAATAGAAATAAAATAGAAATTTTCTCTCAGAGAAAACTGAAAATCTATCTCTATCACTGATTACATAAAGAATGGTTATTATTTAACGAATGTCATACAATGTTTCTAATATCATATTCAAATACGCACTTGTAGTACAATAAGAGAATAAAATGAAGGAAATTCCACGAATACAATAATTGAAAATTGAAATCTAGATAATAACTGTGAAAGGAATTCAGTTTATTAACCAGTAAGAAGATGGAAGACAACCAGGTTTACTTCAGTTAAGTGAGTAATAGTGTGCTCCTTAATAAATATAATACATATGATATTTGAAACAACATACTGAGGCTTAGAACTAGTTCAAAATATAAAGTATCCCGCCAATGATCAAGTACAAAAACTTAAGACGGAGTAGATTTATTGCTCAGATAATGTTACACCAGTAAATAAACATTTTACTCATAGTGTCATTTTAAACGCATCATCTAATATGATCACAATTAATGAAACGAATTAAATTCAATCATTTTTAAGATATTCGTCTGCCCCCAAATGCTCTGGTATGGCCGAGAGTGGGGTTGGCATGTCCTTCCTCTCGAAATTCCCTCACATGGCCACGTGTATACAGCCTCTGCCAGGGAAGTCACACTCACTGCCTTTTCGTGGCGGGGGTGTTGTCTACGAAAATGAGAGGACGAAAAGCGAATGTCCGGCACCGGCTTTAACCGGATCCCAAACCAATGGTGTACATGGGCTAGCTCCAGTATCCTGAAGGAACAAATGGTGTATGAACCAATCGTTGGTCACCGGCTGGCTACCATGGGACTGCATCTCCTTACGATGCTCCACTGCCTTGTGGATCAGATATTCAGGTCAAAGGCTCGTGGTGTGGCCTCCTTAGAAAACCACTTGCTTCAGTCTAGGCACCTGGGCAGTATCACAGCCGTCACACAAATTAATTGAGATTTGTGTGGCGCATATATATTTGGTGCCCTCTTGTATCAATATCTATGTGTTAAAATAAATAAATGAATAAATAAATAAAGATATTTTTCTAAAAAACGTGTATACACTTGTAATGAGAATCGGATTTTCAAATGATGGTTAAAAATTGTATTTCAAAGTGATAACATGATTAGAATTATATCACTGTTGAACCTATTCAATACAGGCAACATAAAAACAAACAAACAAATAAAAAATTACGGATAAAAATCTCATCAAACCTACAAAACAAAAACACAGTATACCATCAATGTATAATATCATAACGAGAAGTCATATATATCATTATAATCATATGATCAATTAGTACAGTGAAAGATTAATCAATCTGTTATCATCTATAAGATATATAATACAACTTTCTAAATTGTATTCATCATTTTATTTGATCACACGATCTCTAATTTATGCCAAAATGTTCGTTTGTAATCATTTTTATTTAAAATGATAAATTTTAGTAATTTCGATGGTTAAGATTATGAGTCAGTTGAAGGTAGACCATTATGGAAAACCTGGAAGCACTGGGCGGCCGTTTCGTCCTATTATGGGACTCCTCAGCAGTGCGTATCCACGACCACGCCCGCTGCGAATTCGAACATGGAAAGCGTAACAAAACACGATCATCTTATTATTATTTAAGAAATGGATGAGATTTTTCATTAAACTACGTAGCTTAATTTTTTGTTAACTCTTGAATTGTAACAATTGGATGATATTCAAAACATGGATTACATTAGAACTTTTCGAGTATATGATGTAATTAAGTGTGAATAAGATGTTCCCCAAGATATTAGATCATCATTCATAGAAAGATGGATCAACACAATTCATATTCTGTAACTTTGTTTGTTGCTAATCGTTGATTTAATATAAGCCTCAAGTTTGTTAGTTCATTTTTCTACACCTTAACATCATACTTCTTTTTAGTCTATTAGAGTTCTACATATCAGCTTTCATGACGAAAGGGTTTTAATAACATCAGACATTTATTCTGTATCTAATCTGAGATTACATTATCTCTTTTATTGTATTCATGTATGATGCTGTAAACAAAACAATTTTGCATATAAAATTTAACTGCTATCAATAAATTAACCCTATTTATGCAATGAGTTATCTAAATTATGTTCACCGTATAGGTATTCAGAAATTCAACAAAGAGATGTTTAAGAATTGTAAGTGGAGAGATAACAATAAATTTATTTATCGAATACAGGTTGGTATATTCAACTCATAGTCACACTTTAAGAATAAGGGTCAGTAATACCATCCGTCTTCGCGAACCAATTAGACGGAACAAGGTTGAAAACTGTGAATTTTCTCATGAAAGTTAAGGAATTTAATCTTTAGGCAGTTACTCCACTAAGCTAACCCATCAAATAGATTATGCGTAGTTTCATTTAACAATTGAATAAACAGAAGACTATCGGACATCTTGATGTGTATGCTAAAAGACATATCGATAGTCATATGTAGGAATATCAATAGTATGTTGAGGATCATTGTCAGAAAGCAAACATAATGAGACAATGGTTCTCACACAATGGAATTAAACATAGCCATTACATTGTGTGTAAACAGTGGGTAAAATCAAGAGTTGGCAGTAAACTAAAATACGTAAATATTAATTGGGTCAGTAAACTACTCTCATAGAAAGTGGTTGTTAAATGAAGCACCAAACAAATTCTAACGTCTCCACGGTTACTCATCACTGACTAACCACCATCAATTTGAATGAGATACTGACACTTATCCAAACATTAGACCAACTAAGTTGACGATTTAGTGCTTAAAATTCCATGTATTAATGAGAGAATTCTAGGCATTTATATTACTCAACAAAATGTGATCCCACCTAATCAGTATTGATTTTTTATTTTTTTATTTTAACACATAGATATTGGTACAAGGAGGCACCAAATACATATGCGCCACACATATCTCACTTGATATGTGTGAGGGCTGTGATACTGCACGGGTGCCCGAACCGAACCACGTGGTCTTCTTAGGGAGCCACACCCCAAGCCTTCGACCTGAAGATCTGATCCACAAGGCAGTGGAGCATCGTAAGGAGATGCAGTCCCATGGTAGCCGGTGACCAACGATTGGTTCATACTGGAGCCAGCCCATGTGCACCATTGGTTTGGGATCCGGTTAAAGCCGGTGCCGGACATTCGCTTTTCGTCCTCTCATTTTCGTAGACAACACCCCCGCCATGAGAAGGCAGTGAGTAGGACTTCCCTGTCAGAGGCTATATACGCGTGGCCATGTGAGAGCATTTCGAGAGGGAGAGCGGACTCTCCCCACTCTCGGCCGTACCACGGCGTTTGGGAGCAATCAGTATTGAAGGATTGATAAATTAAACTATTTCCGATTGTTATTCGATAAGCAGTTGGCATCTGTCTGAAAAGCCTTCAAAGTTTTGTTTTAGAAAAACCAAAATAAAACGTAAAGCGTATTGATTAAAATCAAACTACGATTTATTTGATAAACAAATATTTGGAATTTATTAACAATCTGAAATATTCTCGAACAAATTACTATTGTAATGAATCAATATTACACCAGGAATTTTTGAACACAGATAGTACTGAAATACAAATCTATCATATAAATTGCAATTAAACACCGTATCTTGGATCTAAACTAATCAATTCAAAAGGTTTACATGAAAAAAATAACCAAAAGGTAAACTGCTACCTAAATCATTTGACCTTGAGTAAGTTCAATAAAATAGACGTTCATTTAATGGTGAGGACTTTTTTTGTCGTTCAAAACAATTCAATTAGCGATTAATTCGACAGAATCTGTTGTAGATTCTTTGAGATAAATTTACTTCCAACTTCAAAAACTCGACAACTTACATTTGTCAGTCAGTTGTGAACAACATAGAACATAGAAAAAATGTACTTTGATTCAAGCGACCACACTATATCAGAACAGTAATATGAAATTATAAAAACGAATCCTAGATTAGTAGAAGTTGACGGTAACAGCAAAGATTGAGAAAATTATATTATACGAGGGTAAATTTTGTAACCATACAAAAAAAACATATGAGGTTCTTTTAGAACTCAAGACATAAGAGAAGAAAACCAATAGATGCATTCGAGTCATATTACCGAAAGTCGCTAACGATTGATTGATATAATTATATGGACCCCACAAATAAACTTAACACTTACCAACACCACTCAAAATGATAGTTAGTAAACTACTTAACGGGTTGAAATTACTTAACTGAAAGAGTTTGGTTGGAAGTTATATTGAAAATATATTCGTATAGTATAGCAAGAGTGTAAATAAAAATGAATCGACTGAATGTTGTAAATATTTACCTTATGTGAAAGAACATCCTAACACATTGATTGTGACAACTGTTCAAATGGCTAGAAACAAATGATTACACAATGAATAAATATTGATTGGAATATAGTGAGTAGAGCTTAGTTAATAAACTTTTAATTCTCTATAAAACTGTTATAACTTGTCAGTCGAATGCTGCTTGTTATATCTGGTCGTCGCTGATTGTTGTATCGGAAACGCTTATCAGTTATACTCGGAACTAGGGACCTCCGCAATTCCCAAGACGCGTAAGTAAGAACACAAAGACTGGTATATGTTAATATTTATTAACCCCAAAACATGACGGCGACGACGACCTTAGTCGATAAACACACACATTTATGTATTGTTTGTGCACCCATTTTGATTAAGAATTAGAATGAAACCACATATATAACAAATCACATACTGAGCATAGTTTATGTCAATTGAATACAAGAATCTCGTATATTATACAGAATAAAATATCATACGAGAAAACAACTACTACACTGAATAATCATCACATTGAATCAGAACGGAAGTAATATTGAACAAAACTCATAATGAGTAAATAAATCGAATTTTGACTTTACTTTCCATCTTATCAAAAACAATATGTTGAATAACTCAATCAATGGTCGACAAGCACGCCTTTCATGTTACCGCCAACTGTATTTATAAATTTACGTGTACCTGCCAAAGCAGTTACATTGACCTAACAGAAAGGAGGGCATATCTTAGATTTTTTTAATATGTTTCAAAAAGTCACAGAACAAGGGGAAGAAAGACTCTAAACAGTGCAATCACCAAACATCTCCTTGATACAGGATATCAATCCTTTAAGGTGATTAGTAAGCAGCTGAACTCCATTCTTCTGACGTTTACTGAAGCCGTTGTCATCAGGCGTCAAAAACCTGATCTATGTGTTCAAAAGGAGACGCGGTTATTCATCTTTCATTATCTTGGTGACAAATACTCTTTCGCTGCATGGTAAATAAATGTTTTTCTTTTTCCTTAAATCCTTCCTCGCATTTATTACACCATTGAGTTTTATTTCAATTATCTTTCATCAAATGAATAATCATATTTTATCAACTGAGCTCTACTCACTATATTCCAATCAATATTTATTCATTGTGTAATCATTTGTTTCTAGCCATTTGAACAGTTGTCACAATCAATGTGTTAGGATGTTCTTTCACATAAGGTAAATATTTACAACATTCAGTCGATTCATTTTTATTTACACTCTTGCTATACTATACGAATATATTTTCAATATAACTTCCAACCAAACTCTTTCAGTTAAGTAATTTAAACCCATTATGTAATTATGATTTTACATATCATAGGTTATGAGCTGCTGACAAGAAAGTACGACATAAAGTGAATTCTTAATATTCTGCTAGAATCTTTGTTCTTTCTCTTTTCAAAGTGATATAGGAAACTATGTATATGAAAGTTAGTAAACTTACTAACTGACATCACTTTTCGGTTCTCCTACACCTACATTTCGTCCAAACTATCTCTAGAGCAGCCAATCGCGCGTCAAGATATGTTGTGGTTAAGCATACTCAATAAACTTCCTGATCAACTAAGTCAATGAAGGTTCACTATTAATTCAACTTACTTAACTAGAACCCTGTGTTTAGCCCCAACGCTCCTAACTCAGTAGTTCTGATATGCCAGAACAATGCTTCGAAGGGATTTACGACCAAAAACTTGTAAACGACGAATGTCCGTTATGCAAAAAGGACATGTTTCAAAACCAGTGTACAAAAAAAGTCGTCTTTGTCACAACTATTCAAACAATTTTTATCTAAGTTTGATTTGAACCGTTTACATCAATGTTTAAGTTTTGAACAACTTTAAAAAAGGAAGAATTCCTGTTGAATAATCAAACGCATCCATTAACAGTGCAGAATATACCGTAACAACCAAAAATGAATACATATTGAGATAAGAAAAAAAAACAAATATGAAGAAACAACTAATGATTGATGTACGATAATCAAGAGGGAAATAAAAACTGTATATTCCCAGGGTAGTTTCCACAAAAACTGATTACGATTTGCAGCTTCTAATCCATACCTAAAAATAGTAAGTGCCTAAGTCACAAATATACTAATTCAGCGAAATAGAAATAATTAACACATTTGTTTCTCTGAAGTAAAGGAAAGAACTGATATTCAGTTGATAACTAACTAACCTGTTGATTGGCGAATATTTTCTAAGCCTGGTGGTAATGTAGATGAATTCATTCGTTCTGAACGACGATAACCCATAACACCAGACCCAAGAGAACTGGAACCAGGTGAAAGTTGACGTTGTCGAACATACATATCACGTTTAGGTCGACCGGTTAGTGAAATTGGTGTATTCGATACTCCAACAGATATCGATGTACCACTATAACTTGGTAATTTAGATGGACTACATCCATTTACTTGCTTTTGTAATTCAATATCATTTAAACGTCGGAACGGCATAGAATTACTTGTCGCTGATCTAACTACATCTCGCCTTGATACATGTTGATGACTTGGTGTATGATGTGATGAACTGAAATTACTAGATCTTGCTAATGATCTAGATCGATGACCAATATTTTCATTATTCACATTAGGATTTAATTCTTCACTACTCATTATAGCTGTAAAACCTTGTTCTGCTAATTGAAGATAAGATATAGGATATTGACGACCATAATCAACACCTGGTGGACAGATACGTCGTTCACATGCTGATGGTGTAAATGAATTAGGTGATATAGTTTGTCCAGGTGTAGTAGATAGTAAAGTATCAATTGTTACTGGTCCCATCCCATGTTCCTTATAAAAAGGTAGAAGTTATATACAGAAATATGCGTCATATAGAGAATAGTGCAAAAAAGTAAAATATACAATAAGGAAAACAACTGCATAAATAATGACTATTCAAATCAGGCTTGTCCCAGTTCGTTAAACCATACTATCGTGATGTTTATGTCAATGAGGAACGAAAATCTATTAAATTATGACTAATTATTTCTTTCATTTTTCTAATGAAATCAAAAGTTGGTACCATTATTAAAGTTATCGTGATTTGTGAAATATTCAGAACCTCTGATGCAGAAAAGTCGAAAAATTATAAGGATTTTTAATTTAACACAATTGTTTATAGTGGAATGAAAAAAAAAACAACTGAAGAGACTCGACGATGGGTTAGAATTCCAAAACTCTAAGCAAAACAAAAAGTGGATGGTTTAGTATTAAACAACAAACATAACTGTTTAAAGCCATGACTATCAACAATGATGAAACAACGATTAGCTATTATAAACAAACCACTAGACAACTTCACGATGCTTAACAGGATAAAATATGTGGTTTGCATATTAAAGTCTTGTTACTTTGTTTCAAAATCAATAACCATTGATAATAAATATATTTTCCATAAGAAAAACGACTCATAATTTAAAGTATTTTACACAATAAAAAGGAAGAGGATACGTGTCCATATATTTGTAGCACATCTACATCTTAGTGTTCAGTGTATATACAGTATCTGGTGTCTTCTGTATGTGTAGTGAGTGAATAATGTATTTACAAGTTTAACCTTTACTAAGGATTTCATTTCAAGCTGTAGCTTATACTTTGTAAACTGTTTTGCACCCCGGAAAGTTGCGGTACGCTACAGTAGCGTACCAACATAAGACATATGTAGATGGCTTCATATGATTTAGCACAAATACACTGAATAAACAAAAAAAAACGCTCAAATATGCTAGATATAACACTTAAGGAACATTGAAAAAAAGATCCTTGTCAAACAAATATTAAAGCCCCATTCCATTCAATACGAAGTAAACAAATGAATATTTCACACACCTAACATAGTTGATCATGTACAATTCGAGAAAAAAAAACAATAGTATTCTATTGATAAACATGTAAATGTCCACGTATAGAATAGACCTCCAAAGTAGTAGAAAATAAAATTCATGAAGTAAAAAGTGAAAAAAAATGTGCATTTTATTTTGATTAATGACTTTTCTACTTTGATGCATCACAGAAAAAAAAACGCAATCAGAAGTAAAATACCGATAACATATTAACGTAAATGCTTATTTATTTATATTTATTTTAACACATAGATATTGATACAAAGAGGCGCCAAATACATATGCGCAACACAGATCTCATTTCGTTTGTGTGAGGACTGTGATACTACCCGGGTGCCCAAACCGAACCACGTGGTTTTCTTAGGGGACCACACCCGGAGTCTTCGACCTAAAGGTCTGATCCACAAGGCAGTGGAGCATCGTAAGGAGATGCAGTCCCATGGTAGCCAGCCGGTGACCAACGATTGCTTCATACGCCATTTGTTCCTTCAGGATACTGGAGCTAGCCCATGTGCACCATTGGTTTTGGATCCGGTTAAAGCGCCGGACATTCGCTTTTTGTTCTATCATTTTTGTAGAAACACCCCCTCCACGAGAAGGTAGTGAGTAGGACTTCCCTGGCAGAGGCTATATACGAGTAGCTATGTGAGAGCATTTGGAGAGGGAGAGTGGACTCTCCCCACTGTCGGCCATACCAGGGCAATAAGACATAAATACCAATAAGAATCCATGATTAATACTTACAAATGAAATCATTATATTCAAAAACAAGGGGATATTTGAGAGTAAACTTATTTTCAAAAAACTTTAACTTCAGGTTCTATTCATTACATACTGTATTCTAAGAAGAATCGTACTACAGTATACACATAAACGTTATGATTCAGTTAGCAATTGAATATAATGAATTACACATCGATTATGCCTAAAATATTTACAAAACAGGTTATTGGTAAAGTTAAAACATCACACAAAAATGAATAGGGAAAGTTACTGCAAAGTAAAAAGTTATAATTAGTAGAGTAAAACCTTATAATTATGATATTGGAACAATAAAGAAGATTTGTAGATTAGGAGGATGATTTTGGTAGAAACATTCTAATAGCCAACTACTATAGGGAGTTTGAACTGATGAGTTTGTCTACAGGAATAAGGCAAACTTTATGATTACATAATTCAGCCCAGAGAAAGCAAATGAACTATGAAAAATGTTGTCGGAATTACTGTAGTAATATAATGACAAGGATGAATGAATGTTTCACAGAAAGCAACAAGTAAAAGCTTACGAAGTTTGAATAAATGTTCCATAGTATGCAATTGACAAAACCGATTACAAACGGAATGGGATGACTCTACTTCTGAACAGGTCAAACAAAGCATTTAAAAGTTCTTTCTTCGCAAACCTAAATTTATTTTCATCGACTTGACCTGTTATATAGGTAAAAATTAGTCTTGCATTTTATAGGTCCCTCAAGACTTGGTATCTAACGAAACAAGTTACCTTGTCCTGGTTGTAGCATTTATTGTCTATCAGCAATGACTAAAACTGATTAGTTCGTTCATAAGTAATAAATGTATGTTGTATAGTAGCTACTATAATACAATAATCATAAATCTATAATTGTAAAACAACAAGACAAATTTATTGACAGTAATTGATCATTCATATATTCTCTTCCATTTCCAGTATGCTCTGAGGGTATGTAAATTACATAAAAAATTGTATCCATTTTTCAACAAGCGAGTGAATTGAATACAATGTCACTAATTTCAACAAACTTCTTCAGTCACTAATTTTCATTTCTGCAACATTATTGCTGCGGATAGCTACATTTAAGCCTTTTGAAAGAAAAAAGAATCCCATAAACTCCTTCAGTATTTTATTTAGTAAACAATCATCACCGCTTCTAGAGATAGATGAACAATATATATACTGGTAATGTATAGATATGCCAATTAATGATTAATAAACACGTCATGCTTGTCTAGTACATTTGTGATGGTCTAATTCTATCAACCAGATTGTTATTTAGCCACTATCTTACGTGGCTTTACATTGCGTGCACTGTGTTTTGATGTTAGGTAGTTGACAGAAATCCTTAGATCTAGGTTTTATGATGATTAGCATTCGTCAGCAAATCGATGTTATAACGTTGAAGGAAATGGTTTATCCAATTTTCTGTCACTCAATGTCACAATTTGATACCTTACACCACTGAGTTATTCAGGCAGTGAATTAGTGGTAACCTCTAAGAATGTAAGTGATATTCGTTGGCATTACAAAGAGAGAGAGAAAGAGAGAACTAACTTCAAACTTAAGCTTAGAATTTGCTGCCTACCGATTGCCTCTAATCACTAAGCAGGTAATATATATTTACTAACCAAATAGATCAATGAAATCACATGACATGAGTGAAATCAAAAGTGAAATATATCATCTCTAGAAAATAACAGAACAGCTGGATATAATCGAAATATTAGTTAACTTTTATTATTACCTTACGAGATATTATGATTCATTTTAGTTTTGATGTTTTAAATACAAAACCTTCTTTTACTTTAACCCTTCAATCAAATATACTACTAATAGTAACTTTGAAAGAGATGATTAAATGATGATGATGATGATGATAATCATAGTTGTAAACATTATTAAGAAGAGATATTATTGTTTCTATTACTTAAGTAATTTTTTTGACAATTGAAAAGACAAAAACAGTAGTTCAAGTTTGTTTGTTTGTTTTTCTTTTACGGTAAACAAATCAGTGTGAAAATTGAACAGAGAATAAATTGATTAGATTGTAGAAAATGACATTTTAAACACTATTGAAATGAAAGTGACCCTCCGTTCACTAGAAAATTCGACATTTAACAAATAGGTTGTCAATACGAACCTCTTCTTATCTACTTTCATTCCAACATACAAGAAGTATAGTTACCTCACAAACACATATTACAAAGTGACTGAACATCGACTAGATAAAAGTCTATTTGATAAACGATTTACAACAAGTGGATAAGCATTGAAAATAAGAAAAACTCCTTATTTATATGAATGAAATTAAAATATGCTTGAAAAAAAATCAAATTAGGCAAATCACCAACGAAAATTTAATTAAAACAATTATCCAAATCGATAAACTTAAGTTATATAATAAAATACTTCTTTACATTGTAAATTCATCAAAATGCTGTTCAGACAATGCATTCGTTTCGTCCCGTTGTGAGACTCCTCAGCAGTGCCCAGATGCGCATGTCCGGCGCTATAACCGGATCCTAAATCAATGGTGCACATGGGCTCCAGTATTCTGCGGGAACAAATGGCGTATGGACCAATTTCTTGGTCACCGACTACCGTGGGACTGCATTTCCTCACAATGCTCCACTGCCTTGTGGGTCAGACCTTTAGGTCAAAGGCTCGGGATGTGGCCCCCTAAGTAAACCACCTGCTTCAGTCTGCGCACCCGAGCAGTATCACAGCCTACACACAAATAAAATGAAAATATGTGTGGTGCATTTCTATTTGGTGCCATTTTGTACCAATATTTATGTGTTCAAATAATAAATAATAAATAGATGCGCACAATAGAACGAAACGGCCGTTCAGTGCTTTCAGGTTTTCAATGGTGGTCTAACATCAATCGGTTCATGATCTCACTCAAAAACTTAATTATAATAATAATAATTATTATTATTATAAGTTATTAGCATATATGATTAGACGGTTGCTGTCTGCCACAATTCCTTAACCATCAAAGGTTTCAGACAATCTTATTCACATAGGATAGAATGTTGATGAACATTTGTATTTTGCTTAATCTCAGTTATTTTTAAAGAATAGATAAGAAAAAAAAATGCCCACTAGTCAATGTGATGTATTAACTAGACTTTTACAATCAGTGAAATCCATTTACACTTTCGAAACTTTTTTATTGACATGCATAAATA